AACTACCTGACTAATTGTTGTTTTGTTGACAGCTAATTACTAGCAGTTTAATACTTGGAAAAGCAAGGAAGCCCCAAACACAGCAAAACGATAAGGAGTAAAGAAAAACGATAAGGTTGAAGTTTATGAAGGATTCAATACGGGGTTTTTATACAACCCCACTTGTCTGTTCCAAGGCAGAGCATGCAAAAATCCGTGGCACATCCGGATGCCTGCCCGACCCTACCCCAAAGTGTATGCCAAAAGTTCTGCTCAGCTTGCACAGCACCATCGTCCAAATCACTATCTGTGAGCCGACTGACTTCCTTCTCAGGCAACTGCTTACGAAGCAGCTGTGATTTTGAGGGCCATCCGCCGAGAAAAAAGGAAAACTTAGGTGATAAGGACCCGAAAGGAATTTGATGCACTGGGCGCCCGCAAAATCTCGACATCCAGTAACGTACTCATCCGGGATATTGCCATCGACTCAGGACTGCTGTAATTTGAACCTTTACACGGATGGCGCTGCAACCGTTGGCTGGCACTCAGATGATGAGTCTCTCTTCCAAGGCTGGAAGCTGGGTGTTTGCAGAATGTAAGGGTTATATAGGGATAATGGAAAAGAAAATGGAAGCTACATTTCAGGGTAAAATGAGTATCAAGTTTCCATCAGCTGTCGGCTTTGTGGTATCGGAGTGTCTCATGGGTTTCCCAAACTCTCTCTAGGAACCCGTAGAGTCTTGTCAAAGCCCAAGTTTACCCTGCGCTTCCTGACTTAATCTTGGGAACCCCCCACCCAATCCTTGCAAAAGCACTGAGGCCGTAAACCTTAGGCCAGCAGTTCCTTCGAATATTACAAGTACTGTTCAGCACCCCTCCCCCCAATAGCAGCTATTCCCCTGGTGCACAGCAGCCCCGACATTTTAGGATAGACCTTCAAGACAAGAGTGCTTCATGAAGGCGAGGGAGGCGGCCTCCTTGCTTGTCTGTATTTGCGAAGACACCAAATCCTGGAAGACCAGACTAGGAGTACTTTAAGTGCATGAGAGAACATTCAAAGGTGGGAACAGTGAAGCTTCCCAGACGGTAGTCCGGAGCATTATGACCACTGCGATGAGACCGGGGCTTCAAGAAGATTTGTCAGGACGCTTCACTTCGCTGAGGTAATGGCGACAGCAAACGCAGATTGAAGCGAGACTGCAGAAAGACGGCCATAAATGTAATAACTGATAGAATAGGAATAAGAAGAACAGTCATAATTGATAGTAGTAAGGACCCAGGCAAGACACGCGGAATTGGCTGCAGCCTCCGCAAGCCGTTGGTAAACATTTGAAGAATGTGGGTCCGCTTAGCAGCATGGTCTTTACTACCTTCATCCGCCTGTATTTCCCAATCCCTATACAACCCCTCAAAAATTAACAAGAACTAGAACCCCAACATTTTCAGAATCACCCACATCAGTCAGCAAGCAGATAACCCCATGATAACCTCGGAAGGCCGGTACCAGGATATCACGATCATTTCCATGTCTCTTGGTGTTCCCAGGACTTGCTGCGAGGGTCTGTTTTTGATGCAAAATGAAAAGTAATCCGCAATAACAAGCCCCCTGCACCCCCATCAATACGGAAGCTTGGCCCAATTGTACACATCTGGAATACGCATTCTCCGAAGTTGGGTGGGGTGATTGTCAGGGAATTGGGATAACAAGGGCAGTTTCTTGCTTGTAAATATGAGGTTACAACGACACTTCATTCCTAGATCCGGAAGCCTACAACTAGGTCCCACCACGGTAAATCTCAGCAGCATGGATCACATTAGGCTGCCTTTCACTTTCAAGGGCGTGCTCGCACTTCTTACCTGGCTTTTGATGTGCGTATGCTTGACACACTTCACTCAGACATATCTGACATTCACGAACGGAAAAACAAGGATCTCCACGTAGCAATACGGAACAGGAGGTGCTTTTGGTAGGGCAGCCGTTCGGCAAGGCTAGGAGTTATGAATGCCTATGATTTCCAATTGCAAATAAGCCCAACTTCCCTCATTGGAGGCGCAGAGCCCAAGCAGTTGCACCAATTTGTATGCAGGACCTTTGAGTTACGGTACCTCTACCCGGACGAGTCGGAAGAAGCAGCTCGGCTGTAGCTCCCTGACCTGGCAAAAACTTGGAAACAAAGAGAGAAACCCACGACGCCCACATCGAGCACTGTGTTTCTGTAAGGTCTAAGTCTAAGTCACAGCACTAGCTAAGTCGCAGTTTTGGGGATGCATTGCTACGGGTGCCGAAGTTGCCCTGAGACGCTGTAATGCTTTGAACCATTTGTTGAGTGCCTCATGTGCAGCAGTCTACAGCAGGAGCCTATCTGCTTCTTCCTCCACATGGAAGAGAAGAGGAATTTAGGGTTTAGGCTTTAGGGTGTGGGGGGCTGGTGTAAGCAGTCCCGGTGCAGATTTTAGGCCAAGTGCACCTTGCGAGCCATGATTTTTCCTGAAGTTTCCAAGTGCTCAATGCTTCCCGCCACCATGTACCCGTAGAACATTGTGCCCTAATTAGGTCGCTTCTGCATTGGCACTCTTTACGTAAGCCGTGCGGTCAAGTCTTAAAAGCATGTCGGTAGACCTGGTTGGTAGATACTTGAAATTGTTTAGTTCCTGCAGCACGCCCCAAAGCTAGCCTGAAGCCCCTCTTGTAAGGTGAAGTAGTTTTGTTAGGCCTGGGCTAGGGCCACAGCCACCAATTAGACCAATGAGACCTGAACCCTAACCACAAATCCTAAGATTCTGGCAGGTTTTGCCGCATGGCATAGCAGAGTTGCCATCAGGAACCTAGTCGCGGCGGCATTTGCCATTGCAGCTCCCCGCTTTGGGTCTCAACCCTTCTTCCCCAAAGCAAAATCCTGCAACTGAGGGACTCGGGCTTACACATCATTATTGGCAACCCTATAAAAGATAATAGTAATAGCCATAGTGACGGTAGTAGTACTAGTACCAATAAAAGTAAGAATGGTTTCAGGTTTCAGGTTTCCGGGGCTCACAGTTCTTGACTTCAGCTTGAAACTTGAAACCAAAGACCTTACCACCCCAGTGCAGATTGATTAGTTAGAGACGACGCTGGTGGCCAGGTATGGAGGGTTCTTGAATTGAAATACAAAAGGTGGGGCTCCTATTGCTCATGTGTAGATGGTGACCTGCCTTCAATTGTTGAGAAGGTTGTCAAGACATGTAAAGTTATGGCAAGGCGCCCGGAAAAAATATTCTGTGAAAAGTCCTAGCAACGAACCACTGGGGCGTAGAGGGCGCAACAATGGATTCATAGCTTCACGCACGGCCGCTTCCGGGGGGTGCTGACAGGTGCCCTAAGTTTTTTTTTTACCACAGAAGATGTGCAGTTGGCTTGCGCTGCCGTAAGGTAGTAAGTTTCCTGGGCAAGCTACAACCCTGGGCAGTCCTGGCCCTGAACTCTATAAGCCTGATCCCTCCAGACCCACAAAACAGGAAACATGAGGCTTTGCATCATGTCGGCTAGACACCAGTCAGCGCAGCACCTATGTCATTCCAGGTTGATGCCCTAGTAGTCTCGCGCTTCATCACCCTGCAGAAGCGAAGAGGTATTGCAGTTCTGTGACAGCAGAAGCCTTGTAAGAAGTATCTTCGATTACTGTGACGCGAAGATTCAAAGTGTAGCTGCATACATTATAGTTTATCCTCTTGGTTTTAATTGCACACCAGACTACATGCGCAGTTTCGTCAGAGCGCAAAGCGCAAGGCGCCTGAGGGAAGATGCATCTTCCCCAAAAAGACCCGACTCTCCCGAAGTAGACCCTCATGAACAACACGCAGCAAAAACGTTTCAGCCCAACAGTGGGGAAGCACGGGAAAAGAGACAGGAAGATAAACATGAAGCCACACATATATGTATATACATACCACTATACATATATCATATACATATGCATACGTATATATCCAGAGGCGGTGCTGCATCGCTTCGTTCTGGGCAGCGGGGACCTCATGACTATGGAGGGCATGACGCAGTCTCCTGGTTGAAGGTGCTAAGCCGTAAGCCCCTAGACCCTGAATGGGGGTTAGGGTTTAGGGGATAATGGAAAAGAAGATTGGAAACTACAATTTAGGGTTTAGGGTTTGGGGGAGAATGGAGAAGAAAATGGAAACTACAATTCAGGGTGTAGGGTTTGGGGGATAATGGAGAAGAACATGGAGACTACAATTTAGGGTTTAGCGTTTGGGGGATAATGGAAAAGAAAATGGAAACTACAATTTAGGGTTTCAGGTTTGGGGTTTAGGGTGGCCTCCTGGTTAGGAGTGTTTTGCTCTCCGTCCATCCACGTTTTACATCCAGCCTGAGTGATCGTACAGGAAGGTTTGATGTGTGACGAGGGAGACGTCTCAAAAGGCGAAGGGGTCTGGATGATGGGCGTCAGGAATTCGGATTATGAGCTACTGTCTAAACTCCTAGTATCCCCCCTAATAACCCCTATAGTAGTCCCTTACATAATCCCCTATAGAACCCCCATTAAGGAGTTTAGACTATAGCTCATGTTGCTCTGTTCTTGTTGACTGGTCTTTTTGGGAGGCTCTTTGTACATTGTTGCCTGGGAAATCTGGCAGTCCTCGCAGGGGTGGTGAATCTCAGTCCTTCCTTCCACCTGCATAGGATTTAGGGTTTATGCAAAAAGGGGATAATGGAAAAGCAAATGGAAACTACAATTTAGGGCCTAGGGTTTGAGGGATAATGGAAAAGAAAATGGAAAATAAAATTTAGGGTGGCCTCCCTATCCAAGGTCAGACCCTGCATTGCTTGCAAGGGGGACAGGGACTTGTCAGTGGAGTGAATGGAGGTCACATGATATGAACCACCTCAATATGGTAGTTTCCCAAAATAAGGGGACTCCAAAAAAAACACCGAAATACTTTTGTCCTTATTATAGGGACCCCTAAAAAGGTACCCCTAATTTTGGGAAACCCCAAATACAAGAAGGACCAGCCCAGCCATGCTTTCTGCTATCCTGAATGGAATCCTTATAAGTCCCTTGATGGGATCCCAGCAGCCCCAAACTTCGCGTCTTCAGAAGGAATGTTTCAACAAAAATCTGGAACATCATGTCAACCAGCGTGCAAAGCTAGCTTCCATCCAAGGAAACACACGCAGCACCGAGTCCCCAAAGAGCCCGCTTTTGGAGCTCGCATCAACCTTACCTGGCGCTGGGTGCGGGCCTCTGCATCAGCTATCAGCAGCAACGAGCTGCGAATAGAGTAATCCCCTCCCCCTATAACCTCCCTCGCCCTCCCCTGATAATGTCAACCTCCCAGTAGTAGCCCCCCCTCAGGCCGTGTTTTGTGTTTTTGGTCTACGGAGACGGGGGTGTCGCAATAATCCACCAGGGGGTTGGGGTAGGACTTGGTAGTGCAGCTCGTAGTACTACTAGTACAAGTAGAAGGAAATCTAGTAACATCGGGATAGGTTCAGGCGGACAATACTGCTATCACCTCATTGTTGCCGATGGACCTTGTTTAGTTACACCTTTTCGGCTACAAACTTGGCAGAAAGGCAAATATGTAGTCTTCTGAGATTTTTCTGGCCGGCAACACCATATCGTTGCCATTGTTGCCACCCCTTTGCAACTGGTAATTTCGCACTAATGAACATGTTCTCACTATCTTTTATAGTATGCGGCAGTGCGATTATTGCATAGTACGAGCGTCTGGGGGGGGATGCGGGGGAGGCGGGTCTTGTGAGGTTATGCAGTGGCACCAAATAATGAACGGCCGATGTTTGAGGCACATTTTGCAAGCTGTTTTAACCTTGCATCCTTACTGAAAGCCTCTGGGTTTTAAGAGGCCTCGCAAGCTGTTACAAAATCCCTGACATTTTGTACAAGCCTTTGAAACCCCCCGAGCCCGACACCAGGTCCGGAAACACAGGCCGCAGTGCGCGGCCGCGCAAGCCTGGAGATGAAGCAGCTCCCAGAAACTGCTTGTGAACTTACCACTATAGGTAATGGATTTGCAGCTTAGATCGTATGGATTCCCGCAGGCATATATTGCATTACTTACATATATGTATGTTGATGCTTTGTTCCAATCATTGGAGAGATACGGGGCTTTTGCATGGTAGGGGGAGGTTCTGGGCAACTGGCATGAACAGCAGGACAACGTGACAATTCAGGATGATGATTCCATCACCTAACAGCCGCTTGCTATTCATGATGGCTGCAAGGGTGCTCATGATGCCAGCGTGGGATTCAGGATGGCTGTTCAGGCTTTGCGCACTAGGAGTTTTAAGCAGTTTAAGCAATGATGCTACTCTGCCACTACTGACTGGGAAGGTGAGTTGGATTACGGTGATCAGTACCCATCCGAGGCATCGCACAGCAGATTAGATGGCAGCTGTGGTTAGTAATGGGGTCCTGTACGGTATTTCTGATTCACGGAGTAGGAAGGCATAGGCACCCAAACAAAGGAACGCCCTTGTTTCCAACAAACCAACACTGTGAGCCGCTGAATTTCAGGTGACTTGCTCTCAGGGCATTTTGGGATTGACCCCAGCCGAGGGACCCTTGTAGCTTTATTGCGTTGAGACATTCGTAATTAGAATGGGCTTTTATAAGGCTGCCCCGGCATATGATTCAGGGTCCGAACGAGGGGTCTCTCCCAGGAGCACTCAGCGCTCCCAGTCTGTATGTTTCAGGTGTAGCGTGACGAATCTTGTCCAGACTCTCAAAGCTGAATTTTGTTCCTTCTCCATGTGGTTTAGGGTTTGGGGGCTTAGGGTTTAGGGTTTAGGGGTTTAGGGTTTATGGGTTTATGGGTTGACAAAAGGGGTTTAGGGTTGTGTGAAGTGGGGTCGTGTTTGTCCTTTTTAAATTCATTGGTGGAGCCAAGTCCCTCTTCAATAGCTTTGCAAGGTCCCTTTGGCATTTTACTGCTGGCTTTGGGGAGTGTAGAAGGGTTCAGGGTATGAAGCATGCCTAAGTTTCCTGCTTTTGTGGGTAGCACAACGCGGAACAATCACAACTTCTTTCTCTGAAGAGGCTGCTGCGGTAATCACTTCGGGAACATGTGAGAACATCTGTCCAGTAGAGAATGCAAATTTTAGCGGATGCTCGGGCCACACAAGTTTCTATCGAAGCCCCGAATGTTGGACCTTGCTTGGCGAGATTTACCAGGATATCATCGAGAGAGGGACTGATTCTCAATACCCCTCTGGCCGTACTCCAAAGCTTCGGGCGTTCCGGTGCTTGGAGTTCGAAGCCCTCCTTGAGCTGCCGTGGAAGTATGCGGGGCCTGATCCTTGGAACGAGTAGAGAAGTTGACCAGACTTTCACATGTTGACCAGGCTTGCAGACTTTTACTAATAGCAGTAATAGTCATAGTGGTAATGAAGGCACTAATAGTAAAAATCATAATAGCAATAATAAGCGGTTAATGATATGTAATAATGGTAATAGGCAGTACGTGGGTTCAAGTCATCTCCAGAAGTACGCTAGCACCATGGCATTAGAGCATTCTGAAATAAAAGCGGCTGCTCATCACGAACCCGTTACCAACATTGAGACGACTTTGTCGATAGTTTGTTGCTGAATTTGCTGAGTATGGTATTATTCGCGAGTTCATCCATCTGTCTGCATGAAGTTTGCAAGTCCAGATTTCAGCAGCATCCCAATTGCAGCCACGGCATCTCTCTCTGGGCTTCGCAACGCCTCTCGTCACAATCTCGGGCTCATGAGAGCAAAAAAAAGATGGTTCTTGGGCAGGAGATGCTTGTCAGTGCGACTGGTAAGGGGCAACAATCACCCTGCAGCCCATGGAAGCTTTGCTGCCAATGTGTCAGAAGTCCAAGTAGCTATTTAGTAGAACCAGGCTCTTCAGAAATCCTAAGACGTGTTTACTGCGCGGGTTCAGCAACCCAACGACGCAACCTGAGCAAACCCCAAAGGGATATCCCGACAAGAAAGGCGCCACCAAACCTCTGTCCTCGTGCATCAGATGCCTTGAAAGTCATGATTGCGCTGTAGATGAAACTTGAAAAGTTCTCTCGGCAAGGACCTTTTTACTGCGCACATTTATTCCTGAGAATCAGCCAGCAAGCCCGGCTTTCATAGCGTCCTGGTCTAGGCTTAGGAGGTCAGCCTTGGGTAGGGAAATTCCCAAAGTATGAACGGGTAATATCTTAGTGTCTCTAGCAACTATTGTAGAGAACACTAATGTGTCATAATAGACCTAGCTATCTTTAACCTGAAGGCTATGGTACGGATTTGACGGCAGAGCCTGGGCCCAGAAGGGCCTAAAGACAGTTAGCAAGTACTGTGGCTATATAAGAATAACAATAAGAATTCTAGTAGCACAGACTAAGAACGAATAATAGTAACACTGATAATGGTAGTAGTCGCAACAATAACACGAATACGATTGACAATGATCCTGATAAAGACCTGTTTTACTGCAGTGTTTGCAATCTTTTCAGGCACCCTCCACATCCACTTACTAGTAATTCCACCCTTGCTGAGCGCGGCTGATGCTGACAATATGTCGTCGGCCGCTCTCCCGCCTGCTTCTCTGCCAAATCCTCAATACAAACTATCCCTGTTCAAGGGTTTGGGGAGCTCGGAGAAGGGGCTCAACAGGCAGCATGTCTGCTCTGATAAGAAACAAGGATTGGACTGCTGGAGTGAAAGAAGGTGCTGTGTATCAAGTTTCGGCCGGGCTTTGCATGCGGTCTTGCTTGACGGGTATGGATGAGGATGTGTCCTTAAAATCAGGGCCTGCTGAAGATCCTTAAGGACTTAGGGAACATGCCGACGGGTTCGCCGCTGTTGTTGTCTTGCCGCGCCAGAACTGCTTTGGCATCGTCCGCTATGAGCATGTAGCGCAGCATGAAACTGGATGCAAATGCTTGTCGGATTAGGGCAATATTGCGCCGCCGTGCTCATGAGTTTCGTCCACCGCTTGTGTGCCTCCAGTAACTTTTCTCAAAGTACTGCGCATACTCGCTACATGGGCCACATCTGAAAGTGCCGCAGCGTCAGTAGTTCCTGTGACTTGAACTTCTCGAGCCTCGTTTATGGCAGCCTCACACCTAAGAGTATACTGGATAAGAGATTGGCAAGGACCCTCAAACGTGGCCCTGCCCATCCAATGTTCACTTGCAATCCTTCATAATGTGAGAGGGTGAACTCCACTTTCTCAGGTCTCTTCGCGGCCTTATGGCCATGCCGTGCGCAGGATGCGACCTTCGCCGAAGGTGCAGGGCGGAGCAGCATGAAACGTTCAATCAAGCTAGTTCTAGATTTCCCGACATGCCTCATTCAGAAGCTGTGAAGGGTTACGGGCGTTACAAACACAAGTTCGGTAGCCTAGGCGATTTGTTTCGAAGCATTGCAAGCTAAGCCGGCCCTTGTAGTATTGGTGTTGAGAGAAATAGCTTGAGACACAAGCTACTGTCTCCAAACCCAGCCTTTATTTTTGCCACGGAAGCAAACCGTCTGGCTCAAGGGGTCTCCTTGCCAAGGGTCCAAGCATTTAGGCAGAACAGCCATGGAGGAACCTGTGGAGCCTGTTACCGTGGGGGCCGTTGAAGCTGGGTTGCTGTTAAGGAACTTAAATTAAGGTACTATATTGGGGAAACCCCATTATTTACTACATATACCCATTATGGTAACTTAAGTTAAGGTCCTTAACTCCCTATATTACCCCAGTTTCCATTTCATTTTCCATTTTCTTTTCCATTTGATTCTCCATTACAGGGGATAATATAGCTTAATTTAAGTTCCTTAACAGCAACCCAGGAAATGGAAGCGAACATGGCCCCTCCACAGTGCCCTGGCTTTCCCTCAGCCACAAACCTAACGGGCGTTCTGCGGCAGTCTGAGCGTAGCTTTTGGCTTTGAATGCAGAAGGTGTTCAAGATTTCTCAAGGACAAGGTAACTGAGAAGCCTGATAATATTGTTATGAGATTGTATGTCAGGGTTTTCCAGTTTTAGCTACAGCTGAAAGTCGTGGCCAAAAGGAACGATTCTGATTGTTCAGGCCCCTCTGGCACATGGCCTTCTGTGACAAAAGATTCAGTGAGTTGCTGGTCATGCACTATCGGCACTATCGACTTGGTCTTCCCTGAGCCCATTACATTCAGAACTATCTTCGAGGAATTCCCGCTTGGATGTCTGCCAAAATTTTCCAAGCCCCCTGAACCCTGTAAACCCACCCTC